ATCAATTTGTATTTAATGGTGAATGTAGTCTGACGACATGACCAATATTTATCAATTAAGTTTCAGTGGGGGGTAGGGGGGTTTGGAAAAAAACTAAAGGAATTAAGTTTTTTTATCCGACATCGCTCTTTTGACGTCGTCCCTTAACCGCCCTCAGTGTTGAAATTGGGGCAGGGGACCAGACTAACCCAACCCAGTAGTTTCATGTTATTTCTTCAACACAGACATTACTGTAGGTTTAAATTATAATACCACGAATTTACATAAAAATTATTCCAGACTCCCAAGCATACTGTACATGTAAAAATGAGAAAACACTCAACTGTTGCAATTTTTTGTCTTTCAGATTTTATAAAAGTTCCACATAGTATAGCTGGGTTGTTGTCCAAGTGGTTCAGTGACCAGCTATCCTTTTTTAAGTTCGTTGACAAGATTTATGACTTGATAAACATTTACATAATGATTATATATTGCTGACCTTTTACAGGGGTGTAGCAAGGGATTATTTATTGGTAGACAGGGCTTGGCACTGTGCCAACAGGAAAGTACAAGTTACACGCAGCAGTAACCATATGTCACTGTTGTATACACGCAGAGAGTGAAATATTTGTCGCATGAATTCCTATATCCTGATTATTTCAAACCTCCAAATATAGATGAACTATGATATGATAAAGGCATGAACACTTTATTTTTATAAATAATAATTAATGTTTTATGAATTTCAAACAAAAGTTGAAATCAATTCGACCAAACCATCATGTTATTTTGTCTGTACACCATTGAGAAAATGGGGATGATTTTTTTTCATGGATTTCTTTATGTGAAAAAATTTATAGACTAAAACTACATACTTATTAAAATAAAAGGTCAAATTCAGCAATGACTGTAAATGTCATGTTAGTCAAGTTTCACAACTCAAGTTTCAAGAGGTCATTGTGACCTTGCAAAGTGAAATTCACACTGCAACAAAACCATGCGTAGAAGTTGCAGTGGACTGTACTGTATAGGATTTAGCTGCATTTTATTTTTCCCTATTTTGCTGATACCTAAACGAGTAAAACTAAAATTTCCTCCACAAATAAGTGAGTTCCCAAACGAATGCACATGATACTCAAGGATGCCCTCAACTCGTAAAATGTCTAAAAACAGAGGGGTGGGCTTATACTCGGGGAAGCATGGTATTTGATTCATACCGCTGTGTGCATGAACTCTAGTGAAAATAAAGAAAAGTAAAGAATAAAAAAATCAAGCTTCACAACTTAAGACGTATGGTCAAATATCTTGTAAACAAACAAACAAACAATTTATTCTATACACATTGTATCTACTGCTACCCATTTTGGACACGACTCAGTTTAACAACCAAACCTTATAAGACGTTTTTGAAAGAAAAACAATTTTAAAAGGGCACATTAAGACTTAAAATATTCAGCAAGACTTTTCACTCGCTGCATAATAATTAAGTTGATTAAACAGACACTGCATTCACATTCATGCGATTACTCAAGCATGAAAGAAAACTATTGAGAGCTCAATAAACGTGTCTGTATGCCAAGCGTCTTTGTCAGTCTGAATCCGAGACTGTCAACTGTGACAATATGCAAATTACAATTCTGTAAAAGACGCGACTCGTAAAGTTCCTCAATCGAAAGATCTAATCATAATGGATTTATAGGCATCACACCACTTATAGTTTATAATCAATTAAGGCTCGAAAACTTAAGTTTGTAAGAATGATTCAGTGATGCATTATTGTGAAAATTATACAATGTTATTAACTTCTGATGAATTTGATGATTAGGAATGTGACATGTACAAAGCAACAAAAGTGTTACAGTAAAAAAAGGGAACACATTTGAGATCTCCGCGTTTCCTTTCAGAACTGCATTTTTACACCAGGTGACACATTACTTCAAAATACCACAACACTGAGAACACAGATCTTAATCTAATATGAAACTATTCGAACAAGTTGATGTTTAGGTTCCACACTACCATTAGAAAAGCGCAATCAAATCCAGTGTTTTAAATTTATTTTAGCAATTTCAATTCCAACAATTTAGGGACAAGTGATCATCTTGTATATTACATACGGGTCCCATGATATGCATAGCAGCATGTACATACAAGCTATATGCATATAGATAAAATACTGTGATTATTTACATGCAATACAAATACAGACAATCGCGACGACCACAAAATCTTACTTTATTATAATTACCTGAATTATGAGTTTTTTGGTTGTTATTTTTTTTCCATCAACATACATACATGCAAGTTATAGCTAATATCAGTGTGTTTGAAAATCAAACAATTTGGTATTTTCTGCCAAACCTCTATCAATATTGGAGGTGTGAAACATTAAAAATTGGATGTCAGTGAAAAAGGCTAGAATTTGTTTTAACATCCTATAAATACAAATTAATGAACGAGTCTGCCTGGATTTACATGATATTCATGAGTAGTAGTAATCATACTTGTACAAAGTGGCATATGGTTGTAAAAATTTAAAAAAAACGAAAAAAAACAACACAAAAACACATTATTCTACAGATGAAATCCATGCAGGCTGTCGCAAGCCATGCCTTAACACTAATCCAGATATATTAAATTAACCGTAAAATAATACTGAAATAAGTGACACCTGCAGATACATAAATCCAAGTGTCCTACCACATTAGTTTTTTTTTTAATTAAAATTTGGCTCATACAGCTGTCGCTAGATTTTGAGTAATTGAAAAAATTAGATAAATAAATACATAAATTTCCAAAATGTTATTTAATTATCATTAATAGTGCAGAAATGTGGTTGACAATGTATTTGACAAAATTTGAGTGGTTGTGAATCTGTCAATTATTATGAAAGTCGGAAACAGCTGGAAATATTTATTATATATGCATGTAACTACCATAAATCATAAATAGAATTCCATAATTGTTTTGATAAAGTCATTAGTCTACCACTGAATATCAGTATCCTGAAGGTACTTATAATTAGCTATCGTCACAACAAACCCACTCCCATCATTTTTATAAATATTTATAAATTTCAGAATTCAAACTGAAACCAGATGTTCCTATTGACCGAAGTATTAACATTGAAACATTTTTAAATAACATTACTACACTTGTTGATTAGTTTAACAACTAATGAAATTTATAAATACAATGCATTCATAAAAATTAAAGGAAATGGGTTAGTTGTCATCAGAGTATTTTCACTGTGGTCACTCAAATCATTTTTCCAATTTAACTGTGCAGCATGCAATGCATTTTAACATATGGTATTGTTGGACACAGTGTGGTAACATTATATGCAAAGTAATACCATGAGAAACATATCCCACAGTACAATCCCATATATCATATAGCATATGCCACTTCAGTCTGAGTTCTTGTGAGGACACTATTTAGCAAGGTCATTTATACAAAGTCATTCAACCAGGTAGATTTTTTTTCATCTGTAATTGAAATAAAAATTTACTCTGATCTCGCACAGCAATTTCTTTATATTTTTACTTGTTTTGTTCCACAACTACCCTCTTTCCTTTTTTTCTTGTTTATTCAAACCTTCCTTTCGCACTACAATTGTCAACTGGGTCATAGTAAAACACTTTCCTTTTACAGACAACTCCAGGATTGTTAACCAATTTGCACAATAATGACATGACCTAAAATGCATAAAGGAGGATATTTATTTGTATATTACTCCGCTTTCATACTGACTATACTTCAACATTACAAATGCTTCAGTATTTTGATAGAAATTTAGCATGGAAATAAAATAAACATGACTTGTACATATTTTGTCTGTGTATTTGTTTGCTACTACAATGCTATACTATACATTGATATAAGTAGCAAGCAGTACTAATGACTATATATACAGGGGGGGTAATTTTTTCCAGCTTTAAAAATTTATAATTTTTTTAACAAGTACTCTCTTTGATCACAAGCATGATAATTTCAAAGTAATTTTTTTTTAAAAATCTTTAATAAAATTTTGATTTGTCTGCAGTAGCTGTGTTTCTATGGTTAATACATGGCCTTAAATGGGTCATTGTAAAATAAAACCGATAAATTGTTTAGATTAATCTTTTAATTTGACAACGTGAACAATTTATTATATATATGTACACATTGTCTGTACAAACACACATCAATGGCGATAAATGTCGCATAAAATTACGCGGGGAATGCTCCTGACTGAATGTTTGTTGACATTATGGCGTCGTGCCCGGCACGCATAATAGTAAGCAAATAACACCGAATAAACGGCAAGGTAAAGACTATGTCTAATTAACTATGTCTAATTAACGAGATGTTTTTATGTTTCATTTACAGCGCAAACTACAACCACAAAAATCCGAAGCCCGGACGAGTCACGCACCACGACACACCCACGTCATGCCCACTCGTTTTCTCCCGGCAAAATAAAACACACAATTTGGCAACATGCCAATACTACGAAACACACATGTTGGCAAATTCGCAGCCAAAACAAACGGTTGTAAAACAGGATTGTATGGATCACGAAATGAAAAAAAAATAATCGAACTTACTTTTAGTTTCAAGAGGTTTCAGAGCGCCCTGTTTAAGATGCTGACACCAACAAGTCACGAATTTGGGTCTTTCAAAAATTGTTATTTGATATGTGTACACTTTTATTTTCACAGAGCGTGTATTCAAATGAGCCGACTAGACCCAGCCTCGTACATGTAGTTTGTATTTCGATTATTATTTTTATAAAATTAAAATATGGAATAAAAATTGTATAATGTATAGTGCACATTACAATCTATTTTTGTTCATGAATTATAATTGTTAAAATTAATCATCAGTAACTATATTGAATGTATGAATTAATTTAAGTGACGAACGAGGAGAACAAAAAGTTCGTGTTTGCCTGATTAGTTGGATGTAACGCGACGTGTGATTGGATGAATGCATTCTCATTTGTGAGTTGTTCAAGATGGGTTAGTTGCTTTCTCGCTGAAGATTTCGCGTTTGCGTTTTCGTTCGCAAAATTCTGAGGCATTATTACAAATTCACAGAGAAAATAATTAACAACGCTCTCTCTTATCACAAGTTTCTTAGACTCTGTTCCGATTTTCAATACATCGTCGGAACCAATAAAACGCGGGGTCAGTTTTGGAGGTCAATATGGCTGCGATGCTGTATAAATACAAAATGGCAGAGTTTGGTCCTGACTCTGGCGGACGAGTGAAGGTTTGTTTTGCTAATCTAATAGTATTCTTAGATGGTATATTTTGATTGATACTGTTTGTTGATTAATATAACAGTTGGTGAAACTGTCCGTAACATTGAAAATTGCTATACCCTGTCGCGTGACATGAAAATCTGTGTTTTAATTTACCAAAACAAAACTCATCTTTTGTATGAGTGGGAAAAACCGGAAATGTCATATTCCCCTTTTTTAGGGGTTAAGCTTTTGACATGCCGGGGGTGAGTTTATTTAACCATGTATAGCATGGTTACATGATCTGCCTGTAGCATACATGTGGTGGAACTATTTTGTCAATGACTGTCGAATTTAAAACTTTTAATCCCCAAACCCCTCTATAATATTAAATGGTCTATCCCTTAGTCATTTTGTAGGTTATTTCGACCTGGGTCGTTTACCCCCTCAGGGTAAAATTTTCTGATTGTTGCTTGTTTGAATTGATGCACATAAATTATCACTAAAGAAAATGTGACCTGTAGAACCCAAAATGAAACTGCCTTTTTATGTTGGAGATCATAAACAATGAAAGTCTCATAAGTCGTAGTATTGACTTGCCTGTTCATTTTGTGTCAGTCCATGGTCTGTTCAATGGAATACTATGACCCCATGCCCAGTTTGTATCCACAGGTCATACTGTATTTGCATATATGCTACAGTGCGCGAATACAGTGGAATACACGGTCATGCAAGTCATTGCCCCAAACGGTCATTGCCCAGCATAGGTGTCAATAGCCCTGCGTACATAATTGTTTTGAGAGTAAAATTTACATTAAGACTTGACAGCACCTCAACACTTCCATGTGAATGGTAATTGAAGTTTTCCAAAACTCCACATCCTCAGTGGACGTGGCATGAGTATTTTTTTTAAAGAATCCTAAACTTCTCCCATTTGTAAATTACATTGATCATTTCGATGATGACATTGTCAAATCTGCAATCATTTACAAAACTTGAAAGCTGCCTTGAATCACATCATGCAACCTTGCTATTTTTAGAAACGGTCATGTCCAAGTGACAGTAGAACAGCAAATGAAGTGTATTTGGGTAACCAACAACACTTTTGGTGTATTGATATACATTGTATGAATTAGTCCGCAAGACAATTTGTATGATACGTCATGTATGCTAAGTGTTTTTGAAAATGACCATGGTTTTCATAGGGATGTGCGTGAGGTGCATATCTTAATGAAAACAAGCACCTCCACATTCACTTTGCTACCAACTGGTACAATATATGTGGTTTGTGTAATGTTTAGTTCCACTCGAGATGACCAGCGTTCATCAGTGATTATAGATGATCTTTAAACAGGATTCATTCAAAACAGATCTGATATAATATTTAGTACCAACTGTTTTTTTGTATTTATGTTTTATACTGATGACCCATTTTTGCATGTTTCAGACAATTTTTCTTCAGCAAAATATTGCATACTTGGTAGAAAATTTAGTTTCTAAATCAAAAATTATGTAACACTTTTAAAACAAAAAAACATGATCATTTTTTTTTATTTTAAATACTTGGCTGAAAGTCTGCAATCGATCTTAAACAAGACGATCTCTCGTCCAAACAACTGTTTCAAACACAAATGTTTCAAACCTGAGCGTAGGAAAACATGAAAACAGTTAATATTCAGTGAGAAGTGCGTTGTCAAAAAATATCTAGACTGATTAAGTGTAGTACTGATAAGTAAACAAAAGATACAAAGTGAATGAAAGTGTCTTACCTAGTACATGTAGTAGTAGAAAATTTACCTTACCTAACTGCTTGGATGTCAGCATGAAAGTATTTGTACAATTTGGTTTAAATAAAAAAAAAATGCTGAAGCTGATAACTGAAAACAAATTAACACTGAAATCAAAACAAATGTATTTTTTACAACAAGGGAGAAAATAAATGAATGATAAAACTGATAAATGAGACTTGTTTTGTTAATACTGATATTTTGTTTCTACTTGCCAGCGTCACTAAATTTGTTTATTTATACAAAATTGTTATAGATATTTGATTTTTGGTTCATCAACCTTTTGAGTGCCAGTCAACTTTTTGTCACCTTCCTTAAATTTAAATCTACATAACTTTGTTAATTTTTTTTTTCAAAATGTTGATAAAACCCTGTCTCCATAATTGATGTCCTTGTATTCCAATAATGTATTAAAAAAAATTGCGTAAGAATATCCAAACAAGTTCATCAAAATCATTGCTGGAAAAAAATGTATTCAAAGGGTTAAATGTATGGTGTTAGGAATTAGAAATGAAAAACACTGAATATCTTCATCTATCTGTCTCTATCAATGGCGAAATATCAGATTATTTTGATTTTTACATGTACCTTATGACTTTATTTTTTTGCTATTGTTCACAAAATCCAGATAATATCAGCTAACTATTTTCTGCACAAAAAAAAACTCTGATTCAACTTGGTGGAAAGATTACCCATTATGATGGCTGACTGGTGGCCATTTTGTTTTTGCCAAATTGTGTTTCAGACATGTATCTGGTACATGCTTTAAGCAATTCACTTCTGTCAGTATACCTAGACTGTCCATATACATGTACCCGGTACACTAATGTTGTCATCTAAGCCCTAAACAAGGTTTATCAACAGCTGACTGTTTTCGGTGCAAAGAAAAACACTATTAAACACAAATAGATATGTGCTTGGTCATTTTATGAGTCACAATAATTATGAATAGGAACTTTCATTAATTTGTGCAATACTGTTGATATATGTTTTCTTGCTATAAACATGATACCATTCATTGTCACTTGCATATAACATGCATCTTCATAGTGAAAAAGTTTTCACTCAGACTCTCCTGTTTTTAGCTCCGCTGTCGACCTAGTCCAACTTGTAATGCGAGTGAATGTCCGTGTCAACTTTTTAGCTCCACTGTTGACTTTGTCGAGCGGAGCTTATCATATGAGTGATTGTCTGCCGTCGTCTGTGTCAATGTTTTACTTTTTTGACTTCTTCTTGAAAACTACAAGCCTGAATGCTTTGATACTTGGTGTATATGTACCTTGGGTAGACCTCCCTCAGATTTGTTTATTTTGTAATGATATCTTTAATTCTCTAATTTTGGTGAATATTTTTGTCATTTTTAGTAAAAAGTGATATTTTCGACTTCTTGTTAAAAAACGCAAGTCCAATTGCTTTGATATTACATATATAGGTACTACATGTGGAACTCTCTCAGATTTGTTCATTTTGTAATGATATCTTTAGTTCTCTAATTTTGGTGAATATTTTTGTCATTTTTAGTAAAAAGTGATATTTTCGACTTCTTGTTAAAAACCGCAAGTTCAATTGCTTTGATATTACATGTATAGGTACTACATGTGAACCTCTCTCAGATTTGTTCATTTTGTAATGATATCTTCAATTCTCTAATTTTGGTAAATATTTTTGTCATTTTTGGTAAAAAGTGATATTTTCAACTTTTTGTTGAAAACAGCAAGTCCAATTGCTTTTATATTGCATACATAGGTACTACATGTGGATCTCTCTCAGATTTGTTCATTTTGTAATGATATCTTTAATTTTGGTGAATATTTTTGTCATTTTTGGTAAAAAGTGAGATTTTCGACTTCTTGTTAAAAACCGCAAGTCTGATTGCTTTTATATTACATATATAGGTATTACATGTGGACCTTGTTAATTTCGTGGTGATATCTTCAATTACTTAATTTTGATGATTATTTTTGTCATTTTTGGTGAAAAGTGATATTTTTGAATTCTTGTTGAAAACAGCAAGGTCCTTTGCTTTGATACTATACATATTGTTCATTTTCTAATGATGTCTTCAGTTCTTTAATTGAAATGTGCATTGCTAACAGCGGAGCTATCTCAGCCGACAGGCTGCTTGTTTGACTTTTTCTTTTAAACTACAAGCCTGAATGCTTTGATACTTGGTGTATATGTACCCTGGGTAGACCTCTCTTAGATTTGTTTATTTCATGATATCTTCAATTCTCTAATTTTGGTGAATATTTTTGTAATTTTTGGTAAAAAGTGATATTTTCAACTTCTTGTTAAAAACTGCAAGTCTGATTACTTTGATATTATACATATAGGTACTACAGGTAGACCTCTCCCAGATTTGTTCATTTCATGGTGATATTTTCAATTCTTTAATTTTGATGAATATTTTTGTCATTTTTGGTAAAAAGTGATATTCTCTATTTCAACATCAAGTTGCATCCGTTGAATCTTGGCCAGTGGATTTGGCCATCTCATTGAGTCTGTGCCACATTCACCCAGGGTAGGGGTATTTTTGGTATTCAGAATAAGGTAGGATTTGAACTTGGGTCTACCAATCATAAGTTTGCTGGACAACCACTAGTACGTTACCAGTAACAGGTACTCCTCAACTACACAACAAGCATGTGCATTGCAAAATGCTTGTTAAAGATACACATGTCTCTGTTAATAAAAATAGCTTTGAGGTAAGGTTAATATAGCAGATTATGCGCTAGTCGGTGAGTGACATTTGTTATTGAATAAGTCTGCTGGTTGGGAAAAAATAACAGTGCGACGGCCTATTCTCAAACACCCATAAACACAATCCACAAAACAGTAATCAAAAACTGTACATTACTCTAGTTGTTGTGACTCCTGAACAATGTAACCAGTTTACACCTACTTGTGTAACATTGTAAAATCGGTTGTTCAGGATTGTCTCATAGTTGAGTTTGTGTTGTTTTTTGGACTTCAGCTTTTTTCATTGGCTTTTCAACTGGCGTTCCACAGCAACTTGCGTAGAGCCCTTAGAATTACATGGTACAGTGTTGTGTGTCTTAGCAATATAGAAATTTCTGTGACGTAGTTGTATCCCCCCCAAAAAATAGGTATTGATACATTTATTTTGTTCTTGTGGTTGTCTACTCAAAATGACATATTTATTTCATATGTCTGTGTATCTTCACATACATTCCCAGTTTTGCATTCCCTGGCAACAATTTACAAACAATTTTAATGCAATGTAGGTATAAAAGCAAAATTTCTGAAATTTATATCTTGACTGTAATATTACCGTACTCGACCGCGTTAGCGCCCAGGGTCCTCGACTCATAAAATCGCGATTTTTTTTTTAGGGGTGGGCGCTTACCCGAGCACCCCCCTTGGAAAAGAGTGCAACTGACAATTTTAATTCACTGTGTGACAGATTGAGGGGGATATTACGTCTTTGAAAGTTTGAGGAAAAATAAAATTACGAAATTAGGTGCGTCGTCTTTGACTTTTACAATGAAGAAACAGAAATGGTCAAATATGCACATTTTTTTACAATATTAATAACGTACCACCCAAATTTGCAAGATTAAAAATATGCAAGTCTGTTGGAACACAGTCAAAATCTTAATCATTATCGCCACTGACGAATGTGTCGGATCGTATGCAAACTCTCGATAAAATACACCTTCCGCCATGACGTATTTGCATTTGACCTGCATCAACATCTTTTGACCTAATCGGTCAAGTCTGTTATTATCCAATCAAAATGCTTTGTGGTACCGACGCAATTCTTCGAAAATTCTCGAAGACTCTCGGGTAACGCAATGCGGAAGTGAATTATCGTTGTCGAAGTATGATCTGTTGGAATTGATTTCGGC